GGAGAGGAGGAAAAGCCGGAATTTAGCAGCTGTAGGAGGAACATGGAGAGTTCAGTTTTCTATATATGCAGCCGTTCCTCCTGTCCAGCTTTCTGCTGCCACCCGTGGGCTCCCTAGTAACACCCCCTCCTGCGCTCTCTGGAGGCCTCCCCCCTCTCCACTCTTTCTCTGTCTCAAAAGTGAAACCTCAGAGATCTGTTTAGACCCCTGATATCTCACCAAAGCCCTCCAATGGGGCTCCAAAATTTTTTTAAATAAGTATTGTAATAAAAAAAAACTGACACCAGTGATGGAACTACCAGGGTCACAAAGGTCACACTTGTGCCCAACCCTGGTGTTCTGCCATTGGGCTTCGATGGAAGGGAGCAGTCACGTGGATCCTTTATGGTTTCTTACACCACTAGTTATGCCACTGGTGCTATACATAGCTTCCTGAAAACATCACCGTACCCTGCCTCAGTACTCCTCTCCAGAGCCCTCAGTACTCCCTCAGAGCCCTCAGTACTCCTCTCCAGAGCCCTCAGTCCTGATATAGACAGTAGGCTGACTTCTTGGGAAGAGTCATGCAAAAATCTGGGTCTCCCCATTTGCTTTAGTTTGTAGTGTTCAGCTGGATTGCTGCCGCGACAAATGCTACACATCGCGTAAACTTTGTGGCGGTTGTGAAGTGGAGCTTCGTGAACACAGCATGTAAGCACCCCAATCCACTGATTTGAGCAGAGTGGGTGGATGACATGTCCGTGTCCGCTTAGTTTCTGCAGAGTGGATATGGACTGCGCCCGCTCTGCTCTATGGGAGGCTGGGAGTAAACTAACTCCACTTGTCCATTTACGCCCGACTGCCCCCCAACCCAATCCACCTAGATGGAGCGAAACGGATGTCCCTTCCATGTGGGTTTTTTTTTTTTTTGTTTTTGTTTTCCTAGCAGCCTGCATCAGATCAAAGGTAGACTGTCGCAAACGGACACCCACCTGTCCTTAGGGCCGAATAGAGGGTTTGATCGGGTTGGCCTGAAAAACTGACATGCGGACCTAATTTGTTCGGGTGAAAGGGGCCTAGCTGTACAGCCTGCCCTTGTATATTCTCCTCTTGAATGGAGAAAAAGGTACATTGTGTTGCAATGTTTTATGTAGTGCAGTGGTGTCTAAACTGTGGCCCAGAAGCCGGATGTGGCCCTTTGCTTGCCCTTATCTGGCCCTTGGGGCATAATTCCCCCAATGGCCAGCAACAGTGCCGCACGATTGCTACACCCACTGGCACCCAACCACGATAGCTCCCACTGGCACCCAACGATGGGGCACGATAGCTCCCACTGGCACCCAACGATGGGGCACGATAGCTCCCACTGGCACCCAACGATGGGGCACGATAGCTCCCACTGGCACCCAACGATGGGGCACGATAGCTCCCACTGGCACCCAACGATGGGGCACGATAGCTCCCACTGGCACCCAACGATGGGGCACGATAGCTCCCACTGGCACCCAACATGGGGCACGATAGCTCCCACTGGCACCCAACGATGGGGCACGATAGCTCCCACTGGCACCCAACGATGGGGCAACCGATTAGCTCCCACTGGCAACGATGGGGCACGATAGCTCCCACTGGCACCCACCGATGGGGCACGATAGCTCCCACTGGCACCCAACACCACGATAGCTCCCACTGGCACCCAACGATGGGGCACGATAGCTCCCCACTGGCACCCACCGATGGGGCACGATAGCTTCTGGCACCCACCGATGGGGCACGATAGCTCCCACTGGCACCCACCGATGGGGCACGATAGCTCCCACTGGCACCACCACCGATGGGGCACGATAGCTCCCACTGGCACCCACCGATGGGGCACGATAGCTACCCTCACGTGGCACCCAACGATTTACGATAGCTCCCACTGGCACCCACCGATGGGGCACGATAGCTCCCACTGGCACCCACCGATGGGGCACGATAGCTCCCACTGGCACCCACCGATGGGGCACGATAGCTCCCACTGGCACCCACGATGGGGCACGATTGCTCCTTTAATACCAATAATGGGGCATTTTTATTCTCCCACTGGCCGGTTTGGTCCCCTTTAAAGTTTGAAGGACAGTAAACTGGCCCTTTGTTTAGAAAGTCTGGAGATACCTGATATAGTGTACCTTACATGCCTCTTTTTCTCTGTGCTGGAGAAGAAAAATGTAAACGATGGATGGGCAGCACATGGGAGTCAAATCTCAACCATGGCACTACCCCCCTGGACTTTTTATGTTTCTCCTGCGTAAGTTTCCTCCGGGGTACTCTGGTTTTCTCTACTCCAAAGAGATGCTGGCAGGCTAATTGGCTCCTGTCTAAATTAGATTGCCCTTGAGGGCAGAGACTGATGTGAACAGGGCTGTGGATAAGGGGTACCACCAGTCATCCTGTACGGGGCCCAGGACAGCAGGGGGCCCAGGGAGCTGGGTGAATTGGATGTGGGCAGAGAGGGTGATCTGCATGGTGAGGGGGCAATTACTGGAACCGATGCCCTGTTTGGCTTTCTGAAGCATCTGAAAGCTGGACTCTTCTCCTCTCCCTCCCACTGTATTTCAGCTGCTGCAGAGAGGGCCATACAGGGGATTGGTTCCAGTAATTGCCACCCATCATGCCAATCATCCTCCCCGTACACATCTGATTTTCACCATGCTGCTTGGGCCCCCACAATGCCGGCTGCCTCCTCTCCTTCCCAGAGGCAGCTGCAAGCACACAATAGGATCCTTCAGGATGGAGAGTGGGGGAAGGGTCTGATAAATATGTCACATGAACCAGCCCCTTCATTTCCTGAATGAACGCATTTGAGTGATTGGCACTGATCATTCACTGTGTTCATTCATAACTGAAGCATAGTAAACTGTTTTTTTTTTTTCTTTCTGACGGGGCCCTGTCAGATTAGCCGTATGAGGCCCCATGGTTTCTAACAGCAGCCTTGGATGTGAATGTACAATATATACGTTGTATATGTAAAGCGCTGTGTAAATTGTAATTAATAAAAGTTGTGAAAAGAAAAATTCATAAAATAAAGATAAATGGCTAAATTAGGATCTGATCTTAGTTAGGCTCACGATTTTACGATTAGAAAATGGTTTTTTTTTTTTTCTATTCTTGATCAAATTGTTTTTGATTTGAAAAAAAAAAATCAGGAGATATTACCATTTACTACCAAATGAAAGCCCAGATTGTCCGGGGGAGAAAAAGGTTAAATTTACTTGGACACAAGAAGTAGTTGTGACGACACATTCAGTTTATGAACAATGTCAGCATTGTAAAACTGGTTTCAGGTGTTTGTGTAACCCTCCGTCATGAAGGGGTTAATGGTCCGTCATGAAGGGGTTAATGGTCCGTCATGAAGGGGTTAATGGTCCGTCATGAAGGGGTTAATGGTCCGTCATGAAGGGGTTAATGGTAAGTAGCGCAGTATACATTTCAATTTGTTTCCGGATGTGGACAATTGTGTCCCTTTTTTAGCTTGTTTAAATTACTACAACAATATGGATGTGCTATATAAGCAAAAACTAATAAATATTCATTACAAAAAAAAATATTTAATTACAAATGATCTTTTTTGCTGGTTGCTCCTTATATTTTTACATTTTACTTGCAGATCAAAGAAGCCGTGATCGCAAAAACAACAATGTTTATCTCAAACAGCGGTCCCATCCAAGCCACGTCCAGTATGGAGTCCATGCCACGCCGCCGATCCCGGAAGAGCCGCCCTCTGTCTTCTGTGTTCGGTATTTCTGACATCTTTTAAGGGTTTCTACTATACATTCAGCCCTAGGCCTCATTCACATTGGCGCTACTACCTTTAGCAGCAGAAGTCATCTGGGAAGGAAGGATCAACTTTTTAGCTCCCCCAGATCATGTTTTCCTACTTTTTAGGCCCCATTCACATGGGACTCCAGACATGTGCCTCCTGTGGAGGGCGGTCTTTTACCAGCAGGAGCATGCACAGGGGCGGACTGACAACTCATGGGGCCCCGGGCAATAGGGGATCATGGGGAACTGTGTCCTTGACCAAACTCAAAAAAGCCTATGAAAAAGGTACCAGGGGCATCTCATGGGGCCCCCTACTGACCCCGGGCCCTCGGGCAGTGCCCAAGTTTCCAAATGGTCAGTCCGCCCCTGAGCATGCACAGCTGTCGCATGCATCCCCGCATTGGTGTCCCCATTCACCTCTATTGGGATACGCGGCTACACAGGCACAGCAGCTGTGTCCTTATATGAAATGTAGGTGCGGGTCCCCGAACACATACAGGGGACACATGTTATATTAGTACACAGCAGATGCAAGGGCAGCCGTGTGTCCCAATAGAAAGGAATGGGATCTCGGCACTGGAATTCACACAACAGCTGTGCATGCCCCTGCTGGTAGAAAACGGCCCTACATGGGAGACGCATGTGTTCACTCCATGTGAATGGGCCCTTAAATGTTTCTGCTGTAATCAGTGGCATAACCAGGGGCGGACTGACCATTTGGAAAGTCGGGCACTGCCTGAGGGCCCAGGGTCAGTAGGGGGCCCCATGAGATGCCACTGGTACCTTTTTTCATAGGCTTTTTTGAGTTTGGACAAGGACACAGGGGCCCCATGATCCCCTATTGCCCAGGGCCCCATGAGTTGTCCGCCCCTGGGCATAACACATGAGCGGTGGCAAAAGGGTAGGTGTTAACACCCACATATCGCACATAATACATCAATGGACAGCCAATGGTTCTGTGGTGAGGCTCCCAACACAGAGGCTGAGCTGTCAAAGACAGATCGTGGTCTCTACTAATGATTGGTGGCCAGCAGGATCGGCTCCTGATCATGTGACCACCGCGACAACCAATCACAGATCTTTCCTTTATCCTGGGCATTGAGAACTTTTTTGGAATGTTGAGGAGGGTGGGAAGGAATTAAAGCAGGTGACCTAGAGGGGGGAGGGGACACCTTGCCGGAAGAAGGGTCATCGTGACCGCTATGTGTAGAGTGGAGCAGGGGCGGACTGACAACTCATGGGGCCCCCGGGCAATAGGGGATCATGGGGCCCCTGTCTCCTTGCCCAAACTCAAAAAAGCCTATGAAAAAGGTACGAGGGGCATCTCATGGGGCCCCCTACTGACCCAGGGCCCTCGGGCAGTGCCCGAGTTTCCAAATGGTCAGTCCGCCCCTGGAGTTGAGAAATAGTCAGGATTTTTGGAGTTGGCTCACCTTTTTAATTTTTTTTGTGAGAAGGTGAACTTAACCTTTTAACTTGAACATCTCGTCATATTAATTAGGACAATAAAATATAGCACCCCAGAACTAAAATAACTAAAACCAGCCAAAAAATGCAAAAATTATGATTTATTAGTACAAAAGAATACAGCAAAACATACAATATACTGTATAATGAAGACTACTTGGTGTATGCATATGTATAGTTACATAGTTAGTCTGGCTGAAAAAGACAAAAGTCCATCCAGTTCAACCATTGAAAAAAAAAAAAAAAAAAGTTGTAATCCTATTACCACAGTTGATCCAGAGGAAGGCAAAAAACCCAGCAAAGCATGATCCAAACTGCTCCTGCAGGGGAAAAAAATGTCTTCCTGACCCCCAAGTGGCAACCGGATATTCCCTGGATCAACTTTACCTATAAATGTTATATCCAGTTATATTCTGTGCATCTAGGGAAGAATCCAGGCCTAGATCATAGCTTATTCATATATAACCCTCAAAATGAGTACAGTTAACAATCCAGTGAGTTCACTCTTTGGACGACGCGTTTCAAATGTTTTCAGGCTTCTTCAGGGCCTTGGTAAAAGCGCCAATATACGGTATTATTTATCATTGCCGTTATTTATGATTATGTCCATTATTGCTACTTTGGACCATATTTACAGAACACGATCACACTGTGGACCACATTTACAGAACACAATCACACTGATAACAAGTGTTAACTATTTTACCACGGTCCTGAAAAAGCAAGAAAACATACCTAACGCGTTGTCCAGAGAGTGAATAGTTAGTGTGATTGTGTTCTGTAAATATGGTACAAAGTAGCAATAAAAGACATAATCATAATCACAGCAGTGATAAGTAATACCGAATATTTGCTCTTTTAGCATGGTCCTGAAGAAGCCTGAAAACATGCGAAACGCGTTGATCATACTGTAAAGACACTAAATTAAGTCCTCAATTTGATGGTTCTGTATGAATAAGTTGTAATATATTGTATATACCCAAAACCGTTTTTTAATTGTTTTGCTTTTGTACAAATCGAATATTTTTGGCTTTTTTAACTAGTTGCCGACCGCAGATAGCTGAATGACGGCTTCACTGCGGCCGGCCAGTTCTGGGTGGACGTCATATGACGTCCCCCCAGAACGCGCTCTCCTGCGCGCCCCAGGGGGCGCGCACCCGGCGATCTCCGTGATCGCTGTTTCCTACGGACACAGCTGATCACGAGATGTGGTAAAAGGCCGATCATACCGGCCTTTTACCACGTGATCAGCGGTGTCCAATGACACGCTGATCACAGGGAAATGCAAGTGCCGGTTCTCGGCTGCACTTTCCTCACGCTGTCAGATCGTGAGGAAAGTACTGCCGAGAACCGGCAGTTGTCAGAGCGAGGATCGGCACCGATCATCAGGGCCACTGATGATCAGTGCCCTGATGATCGGTGCCCAGCAGTGCCACCCACAAGTTCCGCCCACCTGTGCCCAGCAGTGCGCCCACTAGCTCCGCCCACCTGTGCCCAGCAGTGCACCCACCTGTGCCACTCTGCAGTGTCACCCACCTGTGCCCAGAAGTGCCACCCACCTGTGCCCACCCACCTGTGCCCACCCACCAGTGCTGCCCACCAGTGCCACCCACCAGTGCAGCCCAGCAGTGCTGCCAGTCAGTGCCACCAGTCAGTGCCCAGGGGTTGTGCCAGTTAGTGCCCAGCAGTGATGCCAGTCAGTGCCATCTATCAGTACTCATCATCAGTGTCACCTATCAGTGCCGCCTATCAGTGCTGCATATTAGTGCCGCCTATCCGTGACACCTCATTAGTGCTGCCTATCAGTGCCGCCTCATTAGTACTGCCTATCAGTGCCCTTTAGTGCTGCCTATCAGTGCCCATCAGTGCCGCCTATCAGTGCCCATCAGTGCTGCCTCATCAACGCACATCAGTGAAGGAGAAAAAATACCTGTTTGAAAAATTTTATAATAGAAACAAAGAAACTTTTTTTTTTCAAATTTTTTGCAATTTTTTAATTTATAGCGCAAAAAGTAAAGCGCCCAGTGGCGATTAATTACCACCAAAAGAAAGCTCTATTTGTGAGAAAAAAATGATCAAAATTTCATATGGGTACAATGTTGCATGACCGCGCAATTGTCAATCAAAGTGCGGCAGCGCTGAAAGCTGAAAATTGGCCTGGTAAGGAAGGGGGTATAAGTGCCCGGTAGGCAAGTGGTTAATATAATTTGGTGCTGGGGTGATGTATTTTATAGTCTTCAATAAAAAGAAAACCTTTTTGAATTGTGATGACAGCAACAATGTATTTTTCCAGTGGCTATATACCAATTATATTACTTTTTACCATTTCTAATTTTAGTAGTGTTGATCCAGAAGAAGGCATAGTCAAATATTATTCTGACCGTTTCCATAATGGAGGGGTGACAACCCTTGACTTTGTCAATGGCTGCCAAATTTGTTCTGTGATTCAATTACTAAGCCAATCGGTCCTATTCGGTTTTAGATACAAATTCCATTACTAGAAAGGCTTCTAACCCACTTTTTAAATGCACTTTATTGGATTTTGCCGCGCTGATCGTTCTTCATGTGATGCTGTTGCAAAAAAGTAATCTTTGAAAGCTTTGTTACCTATAAAACAAACCTCGCTTTTCCTGGGCCTGGCACTGCAAAGCATCCCTTTGATCATGAGTTGACATCCCTGGGAACTGTACAGTTCTAGGAATGTTGATCTCCTTGGTCCCCCGCAGTTCCCACTGGTGTCGCTGCAGGATATATTTAGGGCTCATTCACACCAGCCTCATTGAGCTGTGTTTGGCAGCATTGTATACGTAGTTCCAGTGCATAGACAAGGCAAGACTACTTGGTGTATGCATATGTATAGTTTCATAGTTAGTCTGGCTGAAAAAAGACAAAAGTCCATCCAGTTCAACCATATATATAAAAAAAAAAAAAAAAGTTATAATCCTACACCCACAGTTGATCCAGAAGGCAAAAAAAAAAACAGCAAAGTATGATCCAATTTGCTACTGCTGGGGAAAAAATTCCTTCCTGATCCCCCGAGAGGCAATTGGATATTCCCTGGATCAACTTTACCTATAAATGTTATATCCAGTTATTTTCTGTGTATCCAGGAAAGATTCCAGGACTTTTTTGAAGCAATCCACTGAGCTGGCCAGAACCAACTCTTAAAGTCTATTCCACATTTTCACAGCTCTCACTATGAAGAAACCTTTCCGTGTTTGGAGATTTAAATTTCTTTTCCACCAGACTTAGAGTGCCCCCTTGTCCTCTGTGATGACCTCAGGCACTACACCACATTGCATCAAAGTTGAATGAAATGTTGGGGAAAAAAAATTGTGGATATGTTTTTTAACAATGCGTTGCGTTTCCTTACCCAATAGGTACACCGGATATGATAGATCAGTGTACCGGGCTGCTGCCGGTACCATGTGAGCACTATGACCAATCACAGCAGATCACATGACAATTGTACACAATGGATGGCGTCCATTGATACCATTCATTGTATACTATTGTGTTGATCTCTGTGGTTGATCGCATTGTACAGACAGGGCCAATCACAGTCCACCTGTACCATGTGATTAGCTGTGACCAATCACAGCTAAAAACAATAGTACGCACTGAATGAAATGGTTGCTTATAACTGTTATAAGCGATCATTATGTGTGTAAAAAAGAAAATAAATCCAGATCATCCCCTCCACAGAGAAGTAAAGTGTTACTATGGTAAAATCATTAAAAAAAAAAAAAAAAAAAAGTAATAAAATTTCTGTCACCAGTCAGTCAGTGTCCCTGATCAGCGCACACCAGTCATTATGATGCTGTAAAGCACTGGTGACAATATGTAAAAAAAAAAAAAAATACAATTTTTTTTTTTTTTCTTTTTCCAAAAAATTGTGATACATAATTTGCCATGCCTCTTTACTAAATATCTTGTACTGTCTACTTTCCAAAAAGAGGTCACTTGGGGAATATTTTTTACTGTCCTGGCATTTTTGGGTCTCAAGACACAGCCTGTCAGTACAACAGGACTGATCTATTTTTCAGATATACAATATTATATATCTTAGTTTGTAGATGCAGAAATGTAGCAGAATACATGTTGGCCTAAATTTATGAAGAAAGATTTTTTTTTTATTTAAATTTTATAACAGAAAATTTTAGTTTTTATTTTTTTTTTTTTCTAAAATGTTCTTTTTGTTTAGCAAAAACTAAAAAAATCCAGTGACGATTAGATGCCACCAAAAGCTCTATTTGTGTGAAAACAATGATAAAAGTTTCATATGGGTAGTGTTGCATGACTGAGTAACTGTCATTCAAAATGCACAATGCTAAAAGCTGAAAATTGGCCTGAGCAAGCAGGGGGTGAAAGTAATTAAGAATATTATATTCTGAAATAGAATTTTTTTTTTTTTTTTTTTTTGAAACCGGAGTTTAATATTTTAACCACTTCCCAACCGGCTGTTGCATATAAATGGCCGGACGTTGGCAGTGCAGGGTCGGGTGGCCATTTATAAACGGCCTCCCCGCACCCTGCTTGTGCGCGCTCCCTGGGAGCGTGCAGCACCGCGATCCGGTGCCCGCTGTGTCTTCCGGACACAGTGAAACACCAATCGTCGGACAAGACCTCTGTACGAGGTCCCGATCATGTGATCACTGATTGGCCAATCAGTGATCACATGCAAAGTAGTAAGCAAGATGTCACTTGTGACATCATTGCTTACTATGTGTGAAATCTGTGAATGATCAGAGGTCACATGGTACAGGGCTATTCACAACAGCCTTGTACCATGTGACAAGCTGTGACCAATCACAGCTCACTCAGTACTACTCAATGACTGCAAGAATGCAGACAGAGAGAGAAATGATTGCTTTTACAGCCTTTATGGGTGTAAAAGCAATCCATGTAAAAAAAAAAAAATCTTCAT